TGATTGAGTATCGACCCTTGACGATAAGGTTGTATCCCTATTTCTCATACCAGCAACCCTATCCCCATGGTCAGATGTTTGACTGGAGAATTGAGTGTATTTTGCGTCACTAGACTCATGAACGTTAGCTTGTAGAATAGGTCCGGTAAAGACCCGTCAACCCATACTGAAGACTAGAAGAGGAGAAAAAATGGCCATAGAGTTTATTCATTGATGGCGCCCCGGCCTGAACACCGCAATTCCAACGGCCTGGTCATTTCTAGTCTAGTCTATAAGCTCTAAAGTCATGAACGCGTAGTATTACTCACTATGTATGGAGGATTCATCAAGGTTGTATAAGGCAACCGCGGGCCTAAAGCCTTGGCGATATTCTTCCTATCATTTCCTATCCTATTAGTCCTTGAAAACCAGCCATTAAGAATTAACTTATCGCAGTAATTTAGTGTTACGGTAGAGATTACAGTCCGTTAGACATGTTTTGCATGTGATTAGACCAAGGATGACGCATAGCGACCTGTTGATTTTGTCCATGATATTCTACTCAATAAACTTGCGTATATTAACCGTAACCTATACATTAAAATTTTAGAAATCATTTGCCAGACTGAAATCTAATAGCTTTATCAGTTAGTAAGCTATTTCACGGTCTTATTTTAGTAGCTAAGACAGACACTGAAAAATTGTTTTTCTTAAGGGGATCTCTAAGCTTTATATGACTTGATATTGGTTTCTATACTATAGAACAACGGTATCAAGCTCTTAAAGCGGATGTAGACATGGGAGGTTGATGGATTGCGCTACTGCAGAATTGCAGAAATGCCCTATTCATGGCTTTAGTCTAGTACAACTGGTATTCGATGAATTTTAAATGTCTTTTGAGGGGAACTAAGCTCTATAAGACTTGATATTGGTTTCTTTACTATAGAACAACAGTATCAAGCTCTTAAAGCTGATGTAAACATGGGAAGGTTGATGGATTGCGCTGCAACAGATACTGCAGAATTGCAGAAACGCACAATTGATGGCTTTAATCTAGTGCAAGTATTATTCGATGAATTTTAAATGTCTTTCAAGGGGATCTCTAAGCTTTATATGACTTGATATCAGTTTCTTTACTATAGAACAACAGTGTCAAGCTCTTAAAGTAGCTGTAAACAAAGAGATGATGATTGATTGCGCTGCAACAGATACTTTATCAACGCTACTTAACTGCGTAATCTT